ACGGGCGACGGTGGGGGGAGGAGAGATCAGCTTCATTAGCAAGAGACCGAGACCAAGTTCTTAGGCTTGAGAGGGACTGGAGGGTGGGTGTAGGCTGGAAGAGGGTTGGGTTAGCAAGTCCTTCTGGGTGGGACGGGGCAGATGACCGGGAGCTGCCTGGGAAGGCAAGACCTAAATTAAGTGACAGTAGTTAGTGTCCATTCAAGACCCTCTTGGTGGCAGGCACTGTGCTGAGTATTCCACGCACATTGTCTCATACATTCTTCACAACAACTCTGTGCGCTAACTACAGGGCTATTTCTATTTTGCAGAGGAAGAAGCTGGGGCTAAGAGAGGTCAAGACTTACCCAAGGGCATACAGTGTGTGGTAGGGCCGGGATCTGGGTCCAGATCTCTGACCAGGGTCCTTCCACTGAGCAGACCCGTCCTGCCTCCCTTAGAGGAGGACCAGGCCTCACTTTCAAAATCACAGAGCCAGGCATTTGGGTTCCACTCCAACGGGGTGGAGGGAGGAGAAAAAGGACGTTCAAGAAGCCAAATGGCTCCCAGTTTCTGCCGTAAGCCCCCCCTTCCTCCTTCCCAGGTTTTCCATAATGTTTTCTCCCTTGTGTGGGATTCTAAATGCCTTTGCCCCCCCAGAGAAGGGAAACTGAGCCCACCTTTCTCCTAGAGATTCCTTTCTTGGTCTTCTCTCCCCATCTCAACCAGCTTCACCTCCCCTTCACCCAGGTGGCTAAAACATTACGCTGGCTGGAGGAGGGGCCAGAGTCACAGGCCTCACCAGACTGCCCAGGACATCCCAGTGGCCCCTCTGGGGTGAGTGGGGCTGGGCACCAAGAGGTGTTTGGATTCTGCCTCCTGGCTGTCAGACCTTTGGCTTCATATTCCTTACCTGTGCAGTGGAGACACTGATACCTGCCCTGCCCAGCTCAGGGTTGTGAAGCTTCAGCTAAATGTTTGTAGAAGTGCTTTGAGAACCGCCAGGCCCTCTCCAGATGCTGGCTCCCAAACTGTCAGCCTGTGCCTGCCTCCCACGCTCAGCCAGGACTGACTTCTCCCGTGTCTGCTGTGTGTTGGTAGCTGGGATTACAGACACATTTGACATCTGTGTTTCAAGGAAGGTACAACCCAGTTGGCATCGTCAGAGAAAGTGGGTCTGGATCTGTCAGGCTGGGGGGTGGGACTTCATTTCCCTCATTTCTGGGAGGCAGGCCAGCCAGTGAGCTATTGGACCCAGTACCAGCAGCCTGTGGAGGTGGACAAGGACTCTGTGCACTAGAGTGGTGGACCTGACTTGGTGAGGCTCAGCGAAATCTCAGTCCTACGTGATCTGCTGGGCGACCATCTGAGGCAGGGCCCCCCGGCTGGAGGTGGGACGGGCAGTGAGGGCAGTGGCAGGAGCAGAGAGTAGAGCGGCACTAAGCTGCTGGTGACGCGCCCAGGCAATCCAAGGAGGGCAGCTTGGGTCCTGAGCCCAGGGCCTGCCCGTTACGCCGCCCCTGACACCTGCAGGGTGATTTTTAGGTGGTACCCAAAGCACCCTAAATTGGGTCAGGGCAAATCACACAAAATTACCTGTGCAGTTCGTCATTGCCTCGCCATCTGCACGCACAGGGCCTGTGCGTCATGGGCAGCTAGGAACCCGGGTGAGCGAAGGAAGGAAAGGATGGATCAGCCTCTCCCACTGCTGCCTCCAGAGTTGTCTCTGGAGTGGGAATATACGCAGCCCCCTCACTCTGGAGAGTGAACTCTGCCCTGGGAATGGTTAGGTCCCCCAGCCTGCTGGGCCAGTTTACTCCTCTGTGGTGTGTGCAGGTCGCTGTGCCTGGAACACCCCCAGGACCCCGTCAGTGCTGCCACTCCCCGGGAGGCCTCCCCAGACTTCCCCGGGCAGAGGAGGCCCCACCCCGGGCCCTGTACCCGTGCCCACCTCCACTCCAGCCTCTGATAGGCAGCTGTCGTCTGAGCACCCAGGCTGTGAGCCTGGAGCAGGGCAGGGCGTGTGCTGTTTCTCCGTGTCCTCGGCATTTAGTCCTCGGCACTTAGCACGGTCCCTGGCACACAGCAGGCACTCAGTGTGAAGAAAGACCGAGTAGGGATGAGTGAGAAGTCCGAGAAGGGGACAGCCTTGGCCGGGCCTGGGTCTTAGCCGGCTGTTTGATTAGCATGAAGGGGAGGCCCACTGGGGCAGGGGGAGGGCAGCAGCCAACGGTGTGGGAAGGAACGGGAATGAGCGGCCTGTCACAGAGACATCTCCCAGGAATGAGACTGCAAGCCCAGGTCATTTTTTCCTGTGAGTCTTGTAATTTCGTGCTCCGGGAGACCACAAATAAGTGAGTTAGTGGGGAGTAAATCCAACTCCCCAGCCACTCCCCCCACCAAGAGACTGCATGGGGCTCCCCCCAAATGCCCCTGGAAACCCCCCTGCTGCCCACCTCTCCCCACCAGGGGCGGGTGCTTCCTGTCCCTGCACTGACCGGTGTTCCCCTCCTGCTTGCCTGCACCGAGCAGCTCTGAGCCATTCTCCCCCACCTTGACCCCTGACCCTGCGCCCTCCTCCACCTTTGGAGGGCAGAGAGCACTTGTCCAGCCTGCATCATCAGGTCTCGAGGGGGGTCACTGAAATTAGCGAGGCAGACAGAAGCAGGGGCTCCTCTCTGATCATCCCCGGCCGCCGCCCTGTCTCTCCCCACCCTGCGCACACCCCGTTTCCACAGCCTCTGGGAGCCTTTCGACCCAGGAAGGTCAGGCTTACACTTTCTGAAGGGCATCTTGGAAAGAAACCCTGGTCCTGGTGTGAGGTCCAGGGGAAGAGGTGGGCCTAAGGAGCACGCCTGTCTGAACCTCAGCTTTGCTGGGGGCTGTGTTCCCATGGACACGCCAGTGTGTGTGTAGATGCCATCCTAAGGAAAACTGGATTTCAGCGGCGTGGGGGGGAGGCTCAGCTGCTCGAAGGGGGCTGCGTATATACTCGCCCGGCATGCCCAGGGCGCCCCGGAAGTGCTTGCCGAGGGGCCAGTGTGGGTGAGTGCGTCCCGATTCGCCTTACAGGGTCTTGTCTGCTGGCGCACGTGGTGGGTTCGGAGAGTAGAAGTCCACGTGAGGACAGACAGGAGTGTGTGTGGACAGAGGTGGTCGTGTGTCACTGAACAGGTGCCCTGGGCACTGCTCTGTGTTGGGAGAGGCTGAAGGAGGTGAGGGAGAGAACCAAGGGAGATTCACGAGAAGGGAAAGGACAGACGCTTTGCCAATGCCAACAAAGTGAAAGCATCGGGCCTTTAATTCCTCTAGTATCTCGCAGATGGGTAGTGTCCTAGTTTTGAAGATCAGGAGACCGAAACAGAAATGGAACAACTTGTCCAAGGTCACACCGCCGGCAATCGCACTGGGATTCAAACCCAGGCTTGCCTGTTGCCAGGGCCCCAAGTCTGAGGCCTGGGCACGGCTGCTCTGGCGTTCTAGGTCTCCGAGAAACCTGGAGGCAGGCGGGTTTTGTGTTCCTGGACTGTGGGTTGGGGACAGATGCCCACATCCCTCGCCTCTGAGCCCCCACTGACCCAGGAGTGGGGGGCTGCAGGGCCCAGCTGACCTTACAAAGAACTTCCAGCCTCCCTGACCCCTCGCTCTTTTACCTGACCTCTCACAGTGCGTCCACCCACGTCCCAGGCCCACTGTCTGGCCTGAGCTGCTCCTCCTGCAAATGAAGTACACTTCCCACTCCTGAGTGTCTGCTGACCGGAGTCCATTCCCATCACCCTGGCCTCCAAGAGCCGACCACTGACCGCTGCAGTCCGTGTTTCTCATGGGTACTTCACACACCCCTGTCAGGACCTGACTGGACTCCCCCAGTGCCAGGAGGCCCTGTGCCTCAACCCGCTGGCCTCAGAAAGCGCCCCCTGTGCACGGACTTTGAGCCTCCATCCACAGCCCCCTGCCATTGTGCTCTGACTCCGAGTGAGTGCTGCCCCCTCAGCCCCTGGACCCGCCAGGCAGCAGGCCGTGCAGCCAGGGTCGCCAGGCTCCAGTCCCAGCTCTGACATCCCCTGACTGTGTGATCTTGGGCAAGGTACTTAACCTGGAGACTGTTTCCTCATCTTCATTGTAGGGCTGCTAATACCTGCCTCACGGGAGAGAATTAGATGAGAACCCTGCCTGTGAAGGGGAACAGTTTGCCACCCCAAAATATGTGGCTTTAGGGTGTCGATTATTTTAGGCTGGTTAATTTTAAGAAAGAGCAGACCTGGGAGAAGCTCTGAGAACCAAGTAGAAGGTACCCTTTGGATAGGACGTTTATAGATGGGACCCCTCCCTCTGTAAGCGTGTCCCCCTGGCCACCGGGCCTGGCTGGCTGTCCGGGGAGCAGGCACAGCAGCTTTCCCTCCTCTGTCCACTGTGCTTCTCCTGGTGGCCTCTCAGAACTGACCCCAGCCCCCGCCCCGCGTCATCTTTTGTCTTTAGATGAAGGGGGGTCTTTAAGGTGATGGCCAGTTACTCTGCTCCTGGGTATCTACCATGAATTCAGGGAGTATATGTGTTATTAAAGTTTAATGTTTTTCTCCTGCTAACTTGCCTTGTGTCACTTTGATCAGATCATTAGTCCAGCCAGGAGCACCTGAAGGGAAGAGAATAGTTTTTCCTCCCAGACACCTATAAAGTGCCTGACACATAGTAGGTGCTCAACAGTAGTACCTATGTTTAATGCCCTGAGTCCACCCGCTTGTTGGGCCAGGGACCCTTCCATGTGCCGCCCTCACGAGGGCACCAGACCTCACCAGCTTCCAGAGTGAGTGCCTATGGGCTCTGATGCCTCAGTGACTCCTGTCTTTATATTTACCCCAGGCCCAAGTGAACCCCATGAGCCTTTCATTCACCCCCAAGACCTCCTCCCCTTTACTTCCCAAACTCCGCCTGAACCCCAGCTCTGCACCCACCGCACTGACTGCACCGACTTGCAGCCCACAGCAGCCCCGGCGGGCACTCTGACTCACCCTGTCTTGCAGGCTCTCCAGGTAGCCCGGCAGTTCCTGCTGCAGCAGGCCTCAGGCCTGAGCTCCCCCGGGAACAATGACAGCAAGCAGGCAGCCTCTGCAGTGCAGGTGAGGAGGAGGGCACCAGCCCGCGGGGCGGGGCCGGGCCGGGCGGGGCGGGCAGGCTGGGGCCAGGTCAGAGGGCGGGCCTGGCAAAACAAAGGAGAGGAAGGGCCAGTTGGAGAACTGCTCTGTCCAGCCGCCATCCGGAGGGAAATGCTGGGGCAGGGTGAAGACACTTGCACTTTCTCATCTCCACCTGATCCCCAGGCCTTCCTCTGCTTGGCCTCTGACTGAGTTCGAACCTGCACTCAGGTCTCTCGGTCCTTGTCCCTCTCCACGAGGTTCCTCTTCCTTGGCCTCAGGGTGACTTACTTACCAGGTCTCTGTTTCCCCGTCCTGGTGTGGTCACTGGCCTGTCCCTCTCCACTCCCTTCCCGGGCACTCTCAGTTGCTCCGGTCACTGCGTCTCCCCCCGTGTCTCTCACCCACCAGTTCTCTCTGTCTCCCCGAGTTTCCTGTCTCTTGATGTCTCTGTGTCTCTTTTGTTTTCTTTTGCACAATCTGCCCTTTTTCCCCCTCCCTTCCCCCAGCCTGCCAGCCCATCTGGCTGGCTGGGGGAAGGGAGATCTGTGGGGGGTGGGCCGGGGTAAGCCAGGCCTTCTGTTTACCTTTTGTGTCACAAAGAACTTGGGAGAATCGCTGTCTGAGTCGGGGTGGGTCACAACTGGGGCAGCCCAGTCTCCTCCCCCTCAGCGCGCCAGCCAGGCTTCCTTACCCCCCTACCCCTTCCCCTTCCCGCAGCAGCGGCGGGAGGCTTGGAATTGGGGAGAGGATTAAGCGGGGCTTTGAAAGGAAGTTTATCTAAGGGAGGAAAGCTGAACACTATCCTGAGCAAGGAGCTCTGGAGTCTGGGGGGCGGAGTGCTGAGGGAAGGGGGGAGGGGGAGGAAGGCAGGATGGGGGATGGGGTGCAGGGTGCCCAGGGAAGGACCCAGGATTGGGTTTTACATGGAGCAAGCTCATGTTCAGAAAGTGTTTTGAACAAGTTCAAGGTGCCCAACACTTGTGGCGCCTTAACTTAGCCCTGTTTTCAGTTTTGAATCTAATGAGACAGCCCTTGAGGGGGGAGAAGTTGGGCAAAGAGGGGTACGGGCCTGCGTTGAGGGGGGGAGGACACAACCTGGAAAGCCAGTGCTGGGAAGAAGAGAGAGTTCCCCCTTTGTGCTGTCAGGACTGGGTCTCCGAGTTAGGGAACCCCCAGCCACACACACACATACTCCCTGTGTCTAAGTGGCCTTCAGGCCACTGTTCTTTCAGTTTATTGATTTGAGAAAAACATCCATTTGCTTTCCACTTATTTGTGCATTCATTGGTTGCTTCTTGCATATGCCTGACTGGGAATCGATCACACAGCCTTGGCATATCCAGGCGACTTTCTAACCAACTGACCTACCTGGCCAGGGCCAGGCTACTTTTCTTAATTCTCCCCACCCTGGGCCCAGCCCAGTACCCCAAGCCAGAAAGGACCAGCCGACCAGAGGTGAGAAAGAAGAGTCTGATGGGTGTTGGAGGGACTGAGGGTCAGGCACAGGAAGTACTTTGCAGCCAGGTATGAGGGGTAGGAGAGCTGAAGAATGAGAAAGGAAGGGAGGCTTCGGAATTTGCCTTGGGAGACCCCTTCTCCTAGATTGAGGAAAGTCCCTGGAAGACCTTGAATGGGAGGCAGAGGTTTTGGTCAGAGGGACAGAGAGAATGAGTCTCAGGCCTCCTCTCATCTTGACCCCTCACTCCTAATGATTGATTCATCCGTTCGCTCAACAATTACTTCCTCAGTACTTCCTAGACCAACAACTGACATTTACAGAGCGCTTACCTGGGGGCAGACACTAAGTGCTTTGTAAGTATCATCTTATTTATCCTCAGTCCTATGACGTAGATGCTGTTATCGGCCTCATCTTGCAGATGAGGAAACGGAGGCCCAGAGAGATTAAATAACCCGTCCAAAGTCACATAGCTAATAAGTGGCGGGGCCAGGATTTGAACCCGAACAACTAGCCCCGGAACTCACATTTCGCTGCCTGTACCGTAGCACCGCCAGCACTTAGCACAGTGGTAAACACTCACAGTCCATGGGGACAGAGCCCTTGCCGGCTGATTCTCTGGGCTCAGGCAGGTGGCAGTTTCGGAGGCCGTGTCTGAACTTCCCCAGGAGCCTGCAGCCCTGACTATTAGTCCTTCATCTCTTCCAGCCTTGATGCCTTCCTTGCCTTTCAACTTCACAGTCTCTAAGAAGATGGGGCTTCTGTTCCACCAGGAACAGGGGTGCAGGGCCTGGAAATAACTTTCCTGTGAGCTCACGTCTGGTGGGGCAGTAGGGGAGAGCGAGTAGGAAAGTGCGTTTTGTCGATGCGGCGTTTGGGGAAATGGGTAGTGAAGGGAGGCCGCTAGCAGCCCTGCCCCAGCGGCCCCACAGGACACTGCCCTACTCCCCAGCTCAAGGTGGGTTTCCTGCCTGCAGTCTCCCCCCAGCCACGGTCACTAGCCCTCTCCCGGAGCCAGCTTCAGATGAGTTCCTAAAGCCTCATTAGGTCCCCAGCTTTAACGAGATTGCCAGGCTTGCGCCCAGGCCTGGATGCCAGGCAGGGAAATGGCACAGGTCGCTGGGAGTTGGAGCAGATGCTCGTCAAAGGCCAGGCACCTGCCTGAGCCCAGAGAATCAGCCTTAGCTCTGCCTACCTTAGTGTCCCACCACCATCTTTTTTCATTGCAGACTCAGCCCAGAATTAGTCTGAGGACTTCCTTCTGGTGATATGCCAGGGGATTGAGCCTAAACTAAGCTCTGGCCTCGTCCCCAAAGGCACCCAGGGGAACCCTGGCTCCGTACTCCAGAATTTGAGTTTGGGTCCTCAATGGGCACCAAATTGCATCCATCCCAACCCTCAGCTCCCAAATAAGCTGCCTCCCCGTGGTGCCATCCGGCCTAGCACACTGTGACCACAGTGGATGGAGGGGTCCAGGCCTGAGTGGGGCCTGGGGGCGGGGCTGCAGGCGGCTGTCAGCGTGGAGCCCAGTGCGCACTCTGCCAGGGCTTCAGTGCGCGTGTGGCTGCCCTGGCCACTCTCCAGGCGGTGACTCACCAGCTCTGCTGAGCCGACTAGACCCCGCAGTGCCCATCCTGACACGTCCTGGCCTGGGGAGGGGTCAGTGGGGACACCAGGGGGGCTCCAACTCAGTGCTCAGAACCCCAAGGGGCGTGAGAAGAGGTGGATGGGTCAGCCAATCCAGGAGATCAGTGTATGGCAGCCACCTTGCTGACCTTTCTTGACCCTCCTGGACCACCTTAGAGACAAGAACACGGAAGGTAACCTGTCTCCATCTATCCCGAAGCCGCCCGTCCAGCCAGCAGGTCCACCACGTGGCAGGAACGTCTGGGGCTGGGGAGGCCTTCCAGGGTCATCTCTTCCATCCCCCTGCCTCATGCAGGAAAGCCCCAAGGAAGGAAACGCCACATCCTTTCTTGCATGCTACTCACAGTGACTCACTCCTGGTGCCTGGAAAGAGCTGGGTGGCTGGTCTCAGTCTCCCCTGCTCCGGGCCCAGTCCCTCCCTGCTGCAGCTCTTGCTGTGATGAGAACAGGAGGCCCACTGCTTTTGTCCTAAGTGACCCTTGCCCCCCAGTGCCCTCTGGGGCCCCTCGAGGTGCACCTTACCTAAGGTGCAATAGAGAAGAAAGTGAAAGGCAGAGACAAGAAAAGAGGGGGGAAAGGAACATTCAGAATGTTTTTAAAAAGTAGTCGTCTCTCCAGTTGCCTAGCATTTAATAGCATAGAAATCACTTCTACCTACCCCTTCTCCCCTTGTCTCTTTAAGGCAGGGCAGGTGTTTTAACTTCTCCAGGCCTCTGTTTTCTCATCTGTAAAATGGTAATGATGATGACACCCCCCTCCCAGGGTTGCTACGAAGATTCTGGGAGATCATACTCATTAAAGGCTTAGCCAAGTGCCTGGCGTGTAATCCGCAGTCAACCGCAGCCTCTTGTGTAGTCCTGTGAGGCAGGGCGGGCAGGTGTTCCAAATCCCAATTAGAGGATGCAGAAAGTGATGCTTGGTGATTTCAAAGAATAGTTGGTGTCAGAGACAAGAACCTAGGTCACCTGACTCGGGAATCTAGGGCTCTGAGCCCAATGCCACCATGTTGGGTGCCCCCATGGAAGGAGGAAAGGACAGATGAGCACCCCGGCTGCCCCAGGGGTTACACGGGGGCTGGCTCCGCAAGGGGGTGGGTCTGGGCCACCCTCTGCCACCTCCCCTAGGCGCCTTTGCCAGTGAGGACCAGGACGCCCCTGCAGGCTGGCTTCCCACAATCTCCTTTGCTACAGTGTAAAGATGGAGATTGGCCTTTGGGGTCCCCCTCCCTTAAACTCCCTGGATGGTTCAGTTTCTACACTCCCTCTGTAATGCTTCTCAGGACCTGCTCCAGGGTGGAGCAGGAAGTGTGGGATGTGGAAACACCAGGAGCCATGGAGCACACAGACCTGGGCTGGAATCGCGACCCTGCCACTGAACACTCCCCTGGGAGCCCTCCTTCCCACGGGATATCCATGGCTGAAGAGCCAGGCGGTGCCCGTCTGGGGGAGTGTGCAGAGAGGCTGGGGAAAGCCCAGGGGTGGTCTCAGCCACTAGTCACTGTGGGCAGTGGGACTTCCCGTGTCCCAGAGGATTCGCCTCACCTCTCTTGCTGCTCTGCTGCTTGGGGATTCCCTAATTGGTGGCCGGAAGCCGAGTCCTGCCCCTGCCAGGGATCCCAGAAGGAACCACCTCCTCCTCCTCCCTTGCCCCACCCATGGGACTGGGGGGAGGTAAGAGGGGCCATGAGTCCCCTGGGGATGTAACCTGAAACAAGTTCCTCAAGACAAGTCCCCGCAGGACACTCTTCCCTGACTGGGCCACCCTGTACCCCTCCCTCCCTACCCCAGGGCTGGCAGAGCTGCCTGCATCTGCTGGGGAAAGTATTTCAGCTCAAGGGAGCAAACATTTAGTACCTACTGTATGCTGGGCACTGTGTTAGGGCCTGGGAGTGAGGAGGAGATTAGAGAAGAGTCCCGCGCACTTCCAGCGTGACGGGAGTGGCAGATAGCCCCACTAGGGGGTAGCCCCATTAGGGCACCGGTCCTGCCAAAATGGCATTAGGACAGTGTTGCCACTCGGGCCTCCCTGACTATGACTTCACGAGCCTCAGGGTTGCAGAGGGAGGTAGGGCTGGGGAAAGAATGCTGTTACTGCTTTTGCCTGCACCTTTGCCTGTAGCTAGATTCTCTGGGCCTCCTGGAGAGGCCCTAACCCAGGGCAGGGACAGAAAGCTGCTCTGCTTGGAGAAACCTGCATGTTCCAGCTGGAAGGAGTCATCTGTTATCATCCAGTCCCTGTTTGACATTCGAGGAAACTGACACCCCAGAGAGGGCAAGTGACTGTCGCACAGCAGGTTCAGTGCAGAACTGGGAGTAGAAGCCTGCCTCCTAACTCCTTGCCGGGGTTCTTCCCACGCTGCTGAAGATATAACCACACCCCCCCACCCAAGGACGTCTGGCTCCGTGCATCCTCCAGACAGCTGTGCGGAAGCACACAACACGTGTGTGAGCAGAGCCACAGTCCAGGGCTCCTGCCATGTGGGCCACTGTTCGAATCCCCCCCGTGGCCACAGGCTGCACTTCGGGTCCGGCCCGCCTCGTATGTCCCCAAAGAGACAGAGCAACAGTTGGGAATGGCTGGCCGCTGCCCTCCCATTACATGGGTTCTACCAGCCAGTGTCACTAGAGTCTAATCCTCCTGCACCGGAGGTCACCTGTCCCAAATATAGGCAGCCTTCATGAGTACTTGCTGTGTGCCAGGCTTTATTTGGGGTATTAACTCATTAGTCCTCATGAAAACCTACCAAGAGGTAGGTGCTGTTGCTGCTTCCATTTAAAAAGCAAGAAAACAGGAAGTAAGTCACTTGTCCAAAGACGCCCAGCTGCTTGGTGGCAAAGCCAGACTGGAACCCAGGCAGACTCACTGGAGCCCCTCTGCCATCCTGTGGAGGGGCCTTGGGTACATGCCCACCCCCAGGTGGGGTCGAGGCGAGCAGGCTAACAGGGCCCAATCCCACAGGTGCCCGTGTCGGTGGCCATGATGTCGCCACAGATGCTTACCCCCCAACAGATGCAACAGATCCTGTCGCCCCCGCAGCTGCAGGCCTTGCTTCAGCAGCAGCAAGCACTCATGCTCCAGCAGGTGAGTCTGGCCTCAGGGCAGCCGAGAAGTGGGGGGTGGGGGATGGGCACTGGCCTCCCACCTCCGCCCTGCTTACTACCAACATCACCGAGTGGCAGAAACCGGAGAGACTGCTCAGGCTGGACTGATCTGCATTCCCCCAGGGCAGTGGGGGGGCCGCAGGAGTCAGGCCTCTCCCACAGCTACGCCCCCGCCCCCTGTCCCTCTGCACTTCCTTTCTGGTGCTGAGCCCCCCTCTGTCTCCAGAACCCCAGGGAAGGGCAAAGTGCTGGAACAGCCTGACTCCCAGCACCTTGACCTGGTCAGAGGACCCACCCAGGAGTCAGGGAGGGCTGGGTGGTGTGGGATGAAGCTTCCCTTTCCCCTCTCCACTGACTGAGCCTCTCTCAGCAGCACTCTCCCTGCCGGGTTGTTTGTCCCACTGCCCCAGTAAGGCTCCCCACTCCTACCTTTGGTGGCTGGGTCACTGCAGGGCTGCGGTTGCTCTGGGGTCAGCGGCCCGCTGCCTGTGGTAACCCACTCCCACCCCTTTCTCCCCACCCAGCTGCAGGAATATTACAAGAAGCAGCAAGAGCAGCTCCACTTGCAGCTTCTCACCCAACAGCAGGCTGGGAAGCAGCCACCCAAAGAGGTAAGGGGCCCAGGGAGGGCCCCGCGCCTTCACCTGCCATCCCAGCCCTCTCCTGGCAGGCGGCTGGGACTCTCAGAGAACTGCTTGGTGGGCACACAGTGGGAAAGTCAGGAAAAGCCTGGGTGGGGGATCAGCCTGGGAGCGGGAGCATGGGGGAGATGGGGAAAGGGGCTCAGATTTCTCTATCTCCCCTCGTTTGCACTCAGTCCTCTCCTTGCCTTATGTCGTTGCGTTAACAAGAGCAGGAAGACAGCTCTGTGTTGCCTCTGCACATGTGTATAGACACGTGTGCGTGGTGTCACATGGCCCACACTCATGACCACCTGCCTTGCTGTCATGCCCTCTTCCTGCCCACTTGTCTCTTAGTGAGCCAGCACTTCAGTCCTCCCCTCTGGTCTTGAGAATCTTTCAGTTACTCAGCAAACCACTTGCCCCCACCCACTAGTACAGCCCCAACTTCTGTCCCTTCTTATAACATTCAGCCCCGCCCTCTCCAGAGACCTAACTCCCAGCCTACATCTGCTGCCCCATCTGGGCAACAGTGCCTCCTGAGCTTCCGTCCCAGGCCCTGCTGTTCCCCCCACTCCCCTACCCCAAACATGTGCCTCCCTCCTGCTGTGCAAACCACAACCAGCTTCTGAGTTGCCTCCACCTGGAAGGCTGCCCTGCTGACACCCAGTCATTTCCCAAGGCTTCAGCCTCCCCCTCAAGGTCTAGTAATTGCTGCATTCTCTGCATTATCTCTAGGCTGCCTCTACTGACTAGCCAGCCCCCAGCCCCAGGGCAGGCAGGCAGGCAGGCAGGCAGGCAGGCAGGGACAGCCCTGCCTCACAAGCACCCAGCACAGGCCTGGAGAAGACTCGCAGCCTGCTGACTTGTCGGTGCCTGTGCGAAGAGCTGAATCTTGGCCGGCGGGGGGGGGGGGGGGGGGGGGGTGTTGCTGGGCCAACCCAGAGAACGGGGAAAGCTGGAGCCAGGGTATGAACAAGTGTGAGAGTGCCCCCCAGCAGTAGGGATCGTGGGTCCTAATGACTAGCTGATGCTGATCTTTTAAAGTCCCATCAGACTTTGTGATTCTCTGTATCTAAGAAGCAAGAGAGGAGCTGGAGGGGAGAAGGCCCTCTCCTCAGGCAGAAGGGGGGCACCCCAGGCATGTGGGAAGGGTGCCTCCAGGCAGGAGTGGCCCCTGGAGTCTGACAGGCTCATCGATCATTGTGATGAGAGCGCCCCCCCCCCCCAGGCGTGCACAGCTGCAGTTCCGGGAGCTGGAGCTGGAGAAGGCGCTGAGCAGCAGGAGGAGGGAGGCATCGGAGTCTGGCTGTGTGTTTTGCGCGCGCGCGTGCGTGCGTGAGTGCGTGTGTGCGTGTGTTTACTGCGAGGAGGCATGCAGCCCTATGGAAGCTGGGCCGGGAGCAGAGAAGCTGCCGCTTCGGACACTGCACCCACAGCTCCGGGGGCTGAGAGGCCCTGGGAGGGGGTGGCTGCAGGGTGGGCACCAGATGGTGCACCTGAGGCTGATGGCACCCCTCTCTGCCCACCCCCTCGGGCTCCCCATCAGGCACTGGGGAACAAGCAGCTGGCCTTCCAGCAGCAGCTCCTACAAATGCAACAGCTGCAGCAACAGCACCTGCTCAACCTGCAGAGACAGGGGCTGGTCAGCCTGCAACCCAACCAAGCCTCGGGGCCCCTCCAGACGCTCCCGCAAGGTGAGTGGCTTACCCACCCTCTAAGCCCAGCCCCATGGCCCTCACTGCACCCAGGGGCTGGTACTCCCTACTCTCAGGGGTGAGATGGGAAGGTCCCTATGTTCCTGGAGCCCTGCCAGCCTCTCCCCTCTCTCTCCCACAGCAGCTGTGTGCCCCACAGACCTGCCCCAGCTGTGGAAGGGCGAGGGTGCCCCTGGGCAGCCTGCCGAGGACAGTGTCAAGCAGGAGGGGCTGGACCTCACTGGCACGGCCGCCACCGCTACCTCGTTTGCTGCCCCCCCCAAAGTCTCACCCCCACTCTCCCACCACACTTTGCCCAATGGACAGCCCACTGTGCTCACACCTCGGAGAGACAGGTACAGGGCCCAGGCTGAGAAGGGGGTGCTGCAGACCTGCCCAGGGGCCTGCCTGGGCCCCTATGGGCGGAATCCACAGTGGGGGCTGGGAGAGTGGGGTGGAACTCAGAGACCCGGAAATGTATCTCTCTCCCAGGGCACACAAAATTGTGCCAGGTCTCTGGGAAAACTGTGTTAGGGACAGAAACGTCACCAGCAGGGGGAACTGGGGCTGGGTTGCTGGTGTCTTAGGGTCCCTGACCACCGCCTCTGTCCCTTCTCCTAGCTCCTCCCATGAGGAGACCCCCAGCTCCCACCCCCTCTATGGACACGGAGAGTGCAAGTGGCCTGGCTGTGAGACCCTGTGTGAGGACCTGGGCCAGTTTATCAAGTAGGTCTACCCGGTCTTTCCTTTTGCCCCTGGCTGCCCCCCTACCCGGAGAAGCCTTTCCACAGGGTCCCTCACCACCCTCCCCCCGCCTGCACCTATCTTGTCCCTTCTCAGGCCTTCAGCCACTAGCGGTCCTCCTCCAGGGGCCCTAGTTCCTTCTCTGCCCTGATTATCTCCCATCACCTCTGCCCGCCTCCCTGCCCTGTCCCCAGGCTGCACAGCCCAGGGTCCGGGTGTGAGGACAAGGACAGAACTCCCACCCCTGCCCTCCCCCCAGCCTCAGCCCCCATGAGTGATGGCCTAGTGACAGGCCTGGCCGGTAGACAGGCAGGGCGGGAGGCAGACAGGCGGCTGGCAGCAGGCGACCAGCTGCCACAGCCGTGCCAGGCTCTGTCACTGACTGATTAACTCCGCTGTCTCCCAGACCCTTGCAGCATCAGGGTCAAACAAATTGTTTTCACGCTTCGTCAGAGGTTTACTTAATTAGTTCATTTGCAATTAGATCTCTCTGTAGCTGCGATTTTAGCAAAGACATCAAAGGAGGATGAGGAGAAGGCTGCTTCCTCCTTTGCCCCATTTTCCCCACCCCTTCCCCTTCTTTGTATCACTCAGTCTGCCTGCTTTCCAGGCTGTGGGCCGGCTTAGAGGGTGGGTGGGAGGGTGGTAATGGAAGGAAACCCAGGGCCAACTTTCTCTTCTCCATCCCCGCTTCCCCCTGAAGACACCTCAACACGGAGCACGCCCTGGACGACCGGAGCACGGCCCAGTGCCGGGTGCAGATGCAGGTGGTGCAGCAGCTGGAGATCCAGGTGTGGCCGAAGCTACAGAGGGACACGGCTGGGGGCGGGGGGGGGGGGAGAACTAGCCCCTGCCCCATCCACAGCACTGACTTTCCAGGAGGGGTTTCTGGGGGAGTCTTATGGAAGGGTAATATGGTCAGAGCCAGCATCTTTTATTTCCCAAGTCCTCATTACCATGGTTAGCTTGATTCTGAAAGGTAAACCAGGGTCAGGGCTGTTTCTGCTGGGAGGTCCAGAAAAAGAGACTCATGCTAATAGAAACAAAAGTAATATTTATAGCTAACACACTAACTTCTTCTGTCCTGTCCTGAATACTTAACCTGTGTAACTCAGGGAATCCTCTAAACAACTTTGTGTGGTGGGTACTATTATTACCCCCATGTTACAGAAAACAGGAACAGAGAGGGGTGAAGTAATTTGCCTCTGGTCACCCAGCTAGAGGGTGGCACAGCTGGGAAAAGACCCTAGGCAGTCTGGCTCCAGAGTCTGAGTTCTGTAACACAAGAGCACTTGGGGCTGCTCAGGACAGACGGTCAGGCAGCCAATCAATATTTACCCATTTCCCTCTGGCACCGAGCAGAGGCCCTTGCCATGGGATGCTAGTTGTAAAAGATCTACTGCATTTATGAATGGGGGTGAATGAATCATTCATCCATTCCTGTGTCTCCATTCAATGCATGAGGACCCTCTCACACACAAGTGCCACTGGACTTGGGTGGTGTTCAGCCACAGCCTCTGCCCTCGTTAGGGAGAAAAGGCATGTGCTGTTAGGAAGAGGGCCCCCGACTGTTGAGGAACTGGAGTCTGGGACATGCAGTCTGGCAGTGAAGTGAGGAAAGCTTCATGGGGCAGGTGGCCCTTGTCCAGGACCTTGAGGGTGTGAGGGGCCAGAGGGGACGGAGGGGCAGGGGACAGAGGGATCTGGAAGTTGAGGCTCGGAGGTGAGTGGTGGTGGGAATAGGGGTTTCCTGGGGAGTCTGGCGGGATGCAGAGGAGGAGGACGTGTCTGCCTCCAGGCAGAGCGCCTGCTCACCCCCAGCCTCTCTGCCTCTCCACAGCTTGCCAAGGAGAGCGAGCGTCTGCAAGCCATGATGGCCCATCTGCACATGCGGCCCTCTGAGCCCAAGCCCTTCAGCCAGCCGGTGAGTGTCCCCCTTCCCCGCAAGCCCCCCCCTAGCCCCTCCACAGCTCCCTGGCCGGTCTCAGCACCTTCCCCATTGCTCACAGCTGAACCCAGCCCCCGGCTCCTCCTCATTCTCCAAGGTGACAGTCTCTGCAGCAGACTCCTTCCCAGATGGCCTCGTGCACCCCCCCACCTCAGCTGCTGCTCCTGTCACCCCTCTAAGGCCTCCAGGCCTGGGTTCTGCCTCCCTGCACAGCGGGGGCCCCGCCCGGCGGAGGAGCAGCGACAAGTTCTGCTCCCCCATCTCCTCAGGTAAGGGCTATAGGAGGGACATTTTTCCCCAAGCTGGGCCTTCCCGTGGCTACATCACCCTCTGCCTGTCTCCCCCAGAGCTGGCCCAGAATCACGAGTTCTACAAGAACGCGGATGTCAGGCCCCCCTTCACCTATGCCTCCCTCATCCGCCAGGTGAGCATGGAAGGTAGCTGGAGGGGGTGGGAAGTGGCACACAGGCTGCCTCAGGGTTCTAGCCTCCAGGAGGATCCTGTGCCAGGTAGGGGACACAGCTTCCCCTCTCGGGGCTGTCTCCTGCTCACCGTTCTCAGCCGTAGGTCTCAGATCCAGGCTTCTGCTGGTCATGTGACCATTTCTCTGTGAGCACACACTTTTTATGTTACTCATACCCAGTGTATTCGTTCTCTCATTTCTATGTACACACACTCCCTTGAGACTATTTTCTGATAGACTTACGGTCACTCTTACTCAGCTTCCCCTCTCTCCCTCTCTCTCACACATAGACACACACATACCATCTCAGAAGGTGCCCTTTGCCAAAATCAGGATAAATTCCAAACAGTCCCCACCCCCTAGATACCTCTCCCAAGGATCTTGCTTTTGTTCCCACTCCCTTGGAGCCCTTTTCTCTCCGGAGAAGTTCATGAGCCCCTTGCACAAGTGCACAGCCCTTGAGGCTTGTGTTCCCTTGTGGCTGGGCTGTAACCAGCCTGCCCTGCTAAGGATGGATGAGTATCCCCCATCCTTACCCACAGGCTTCTGCAGCCAGTCTCCTCTGTGCTTAGGGTGAGTTAGTGGCCAGGCAGAAGAGAGAGACCCTGGGGATGAGTTCACAAGCCTGGGACCCTTTGAGGCCTAAACTGAGGGTCCCTTTGCTTCTTCCTTGCCCACAGGCCATTCTGGAAACCCCTGACAGGCAGCTGACCCTGAATGAGATCTATAACTGGTTCACCAGGATGTTTGCCTATTTCCGGAGAAACACTGCCACCTGGAAGGTGAGGCACGGCCCTTTCCCCCCGCCCGGGGCCCCAGTCACCCTTGGACAACACGTCTCCCTGAGACTGAGCACACCTAACAGTCCCACCAGAGCTCGGGCTGGGATGTGCCTCTCTCTCCACCCCTACCTCTTTAGGGGCCATGGAATGTTCTTGAACTGCCTCTTAATGACTCCCTCCCTTCTAGCCTTGTGTTGCCTTCATTCTGGGAAGAAATCCTCCTCTTCTCTGGAGTGCTTCCCCCTGGGCCCCAAGCCTCATGGAGTAGGGCCCTTGAGAGTTGGTAATGCCTGAGCCTGGTAGGGAGGCCCGCGTTACACTCACAGGATCCCCTCGAGGCCCGGCTGCCTTGCTCTGAAGGCGCATGCTCCGGAACTGAGGATGGAGTGGGCGGCGTGGGGCGCAGGCTTCAGGATGCACTGAGACTCATGGACTGTGTACACTGGGGCTCAAATACAGGCACTCACTCGCTCTCCCCAATCCGCCGTCGGCTGCAGGAAGATAATTGTCTCCATCCAATTAGTCATTTCAACACCTTCAGCCCATAAGAGTTTTCCTGTGGGACCAGAAGCAAGCGAGTGAGGGACCCTAGAAAAATAGGACACTGAGATGTGGGCTGAGCTGCTAAGCCATTTGTTTCTCTATAGCCAGGATGGTCTGTGTGTGTGTCAGTCTGATGGGTGAGAAGATTAGGGTCTTTGCAGCAGAGTGGGGAAGTCATGTCTAAATTGGGAGGAGTGGGGGGAGCAGGTAAAGAGAGGGAAATGTTGAGCACTATGGGGAAGTTTAGGCACCTGAGGAGTCCCTGCCTCAGGACGGCACTTGGATCCCTGGTTCTTGGGTCCCCCTGCTGGCCAGTGCAGAAACTGCAGTCAAACAGGCTACTCCTTCCCCTCCCCCCATCCTGCCAGGTTTCTACAAGTGTCACTGAGGCCCCCTCCCCATCAGTGCCCGGGACTGGGTGGAGTCTGCACAGGGCCCAGCCTTCTGTGCTCTGGGAGTGTGCTAAGTACAGCAAGAGAGACTGTTCCATGATCCTCCGTATCCCCAGGCCCAATTTCCAAAGCTTGGGTGAGAATTTCTGAGGCTGGGACAGCTACTCTGATTGGCTACAAGTGATGTAATTTCCGGCCAACCAGAGTTCTGCCCTCTCTGTGAGCCTGCAGGGCCTTCCCTAGGCCCTCCTAGCGCAGTCTCCAACCTCTAGGCCAGTTGGATATTAGGTTTTGTAAATAATAGAGTTGCTGTGTGAATCATTATGGTTACTAGTAATGTTTACTTTACACATGGCATGTTAACCCTTTGCCTTTAGGAGTGACAATGTAGAGCCTCCCTTCTATCAGACAGTGTCTTCCTTGGGGGCAGCATACCACTCACCTCCCCCCCCCCTTTTCCTGTTCTCTCTTAACCATACCACCTCAGAGCAATTTTTACTCTCCCTTCTTGAAATCAGGGGGAATGCATTTAGGTGGCTTCCTGAAACACCTGATGATTGTCACGAAGCCCCGTGGCCTAATGCCCTTGGCCTCTCATGCCACCTTCACCTGGTTGCCCAGCCTTGGTCACCTCGGTGGTGTGTCTCTCGCTGCAGAGTCCTCCCCTCCACCTCCCCTCACCCGCCTCAGTCCCAGCAGTAAGCTGGCTGAATGGCTGGCTGGGTGGCCTTCCCAGCCAGCAGTGCTCTGCTGCTGCTTCCCCCACTTGGGGCACACAGACTGTGTCAGCTCGAGGTTCACTCTGACCTTCGGGCGTTTCGAACCTTCCTTCGTGTTACTTGGGAAATGCACCCTGTCTACACCCAACTCTTTCCCTCCCACCTCCACTTTCCACCCACCTATCTCCCTTGAGGTCCCTCCTCTTAACTATTTCTGGTTCCTTTCTGCCCTCCTCCTTCACCCTTCTGGCCCCCACCCTGAGATGCTATCCACTTCAGACCAGGGAAGAGGGGTCGGGAGGCAGTGTCGGCCAGGCCAGCTGCTGTTCATCCGGGACAGAGCTGCCATCTGCCAAGTGGATGGTCCTCCCCAGCCCTCCCCCTGTGTCCGTCCCCTTCCAGGGCCGATGTTGTGGGCCTGTCCTTTTGTTTACGCAGCCCCCGCCAGACCCCTGAAATTGCCGTTAATGTTTCAGCGTAACGAATTAGTCTCTCATCACGAATCAGGCTTCGAAATGAGGGAAAAAAGCCCCGGTGAGGCCATCCTCGGAAATTGGGGTCATTCTCATTTGCAAAGCGGAGGATCGGAGCCCCGTAATGCGGGCAAATTTATTCCAAGGCAGGAGCCCCGGCGTGATTAGGCCCTTTGTAATTATCGCTCCAAGAGATTCCACTCCAGCCACCCGCCTCCCTCGTGGATTAGCAAGCGAGTCGGAAAAATACACAGGATTTAATTAGAGGCAAATTAAAATTGGTAATGAAATCGGGCCAGTTGCAAGTGGCAAGAGTTGGAAGGAGGAGAGGGAGAGGGGATCTCCAGGGGCACAGGCTGCCCGCCCTGCCTGCTTTCTTCCCCATTTAGAAATGTAAAGAGGAGACAAGATGGGGGTGGGGGGTGAGGGAGGACAGGTAACAGGGACAGGGACGGCTAGCGGGGATGAAGCTCAGAGAAGAATGTAGGGACAGGACTGAGGGACAGGGTAGGGGGTGGGGGAAGTGGGTGGCTTGGGGCCCTAGCTTAGGCTCCCAGGGTGAAGGAGGGGGGAGGCGGGGAGGGCAGGGAATTGGGCCAAGCACCCCCACCTTCACCCAAGTGTCCTACAAACCAGATGACCTCAATTCTAGACGATACCCTGCCAGAAGGAGGTGGGAGTGGCAAGGTGACTTTCCCTCTTTTCTTTCCTCCTCCTGCCTTGTGGCTGCTGCACCCACGCTCTCCATTCTCTGGTTTATTTCAGCAAGTCTGTCTTAGGCGTCTTCTGTGTGCCCCGGGCTGTCAGTAAGCTTTCCGTTCTGCAGCACAGCTCCAAGCCGGGCTCCCCTGCTCCCAGAGTGGGGAGGGGCTGCCGTAAGAGGTCCTGAGTTATCCCCCAAACTTTAAAAGCTTAGTGAAAATTCTCTGGGCACCTGAGATAAGGTGTCCCAGGCTCACTGAGATGCCAAGGCCTGAGTGTGACCATTCAGAAACCTCAGTAACAGTTACTGTGTGTCTGATTAATGATAATGCACAGAGTGTTACTAACTACCTACTGTTTAGTTGGTAGACAGTTTTCCAGAATTTTGCAGGAAGAAGAGGGGCAGATAATGAAATGGGCTATCGGTAGTAAAGAGGCCGGGAGCACCAGACTCCAAGGGCAGGGAGGGGGGGCTTCTCCCCCCACCCCTGGCCAGGGGGTGGCCCTCCCCCTGCCAGTCCCTGGGTCAGGGAAGGTGGAATAAGGTGTGCTCACCTAAGCAGAGGCAGGGCCCAGCCTGCCTCTGAGCACCTGCCCCTTGTCACTGCACCCCCCAGAATGCCGTGCGGCACAACCTCAGCCTGCACAAGTGCTTTGTGCGTGTGGAGAACGTCAAGGGCGCCGTGTGGACTGTGGACGAGCGGGAGTATCAGAAGCGGAGACCACCAAAGATGACAGGGTATGTGGGCCAGGACCTGGGCGGGGTGTATCCACCAGGGCGTGGGCCCGGCCACCACCTTGCCTCCCCAGTGCACCAAATGCTCCCCACTTTGGGGGTGAGGTGGGGAGAAAAGGGGTGCAGGGGCTCAGGGGAGGCTGGAATCTGGAAATGACATGATTAGAAAGAGGGCATTTGTGCCTTGTTCTGCCCGCCCTTCTGACTGAGTGAAGGAGCCAAGGGGCATATTTCACTAGAAGGAAATAGGCCCCAAGTGTCCATGGCCAGAGCTGGGCACATGCTAGTCACTGTGACCATTGGTCTGCCATCCCCAGAGCTACTCACCCTCATCACAGGAGGAGTCAACATATGAGAGCCCCGGGCCCCAAGTCTTCACTTTATCAGAGAGGAGGCGCAGAGAGGACAAGGGGCTGGAGGGAGGTCACACAGCAGATTAATGGCAGAGCTGAGTCCCTGACCTGTCTTTTGTGATCTGTTCAACCGCATGGCATTTTCAGTGGCAACTGAGGGACCTGGGAGAGGGTCTAAACCTCCTCTTTGGGCTTCTCTTCCAGCACCAGAGGCCTTCTCCCTACTCCAGCCACCCCACACGGGCTACCCTTTACCTGTGCTCTTGACCCTGAGGCCCCAGGGGAAGGAGAGAGAGGTCTGAGGCAAGTCAGATGGATATCTCTGTGGGTGCCTGCTCCCCTCAAAGATGCCTTCTCCCAGGGCAAGAGCCTCTCCACCCCCAACAGCAGTTGGGGCAGGAGCAGGGTTGGGGCCTGGGAGAGGAAGGAAAGCGTCCTCTTCTGACCGCCCCCACGTGCCAATCACAGCTGGTGTCTGCACGTCTCATTACCAACTTAGAGTCAGGAGACCTGGGTTCAGATCCCTTCCTACCAGCTGCATGACCTCTGAGGCCCCTGTGAACGGGGGGGTGATCACTGTGGAAGAGGCAGTGTCGAGCCACTGCTTCCCCTGACCCGGCTCCTGAGTGCCTTCCTGTGCAGGAAAGCCTTTGGGAAGGAGCACACGGTCGCTGCCTGAGCACATGACTTATTAGCTGTCCCAAAATGCAGGTCCTGGGGAGAGGGTGAATTTGACAGATAGGGGACTGTCAAGGCTGTAGCTTGGACCTTGCCAGACACCGGAAACTCTACACCGCGGAGAGGAGGTGCTGGGGCAGCAGGACGTGAGGACGGACATTGGGAGGGGCCCCTGCTCCCACTCTCTAGCTCTGAGACACGTTCCAGAGCCACTGAGGCCCAGCACCTCACCTGTGCGGGGGCTGCTGGCACCTGCTGTGCCAGGCCAGCGTGGGAACTGAGCCAGGTGGGACGCACGCAGGGACCACAGACAGGAGCCACCCTGCTCTGACCACCCCCGCCCCAGGGCAATGAATGGGGCAGAAATGGTCCCTGGCACAGAGTGAGCCCTTAGTCAGAGTCAAGGTGAGTGAGCAGTAAGTGAATGAACGAACCACACGCTACCTTCTCTCTCCTCCAGGAGCCCTACCCTGGTGAAGAACATGATCTCCAGCCTCAGTTACGGAGCACTTAATGCCAGCTACCAGGTGATCAGGTCCTTCCCGGAGCCCACCAGTCATTCCCCCGCGCCCCTCTGCCCCCTTGATTCTTCTTCAACACACCCTGATCTGTAGAGAGACCCTCCCCCACCCTCCCCATCTTTAGGAAGGGGGAGGAGCAAGAAAAGAAGGGAGAAGACTACTCCGGGCAGCCAGAACCCCGACCCTCTGCCCCACCTCAGCTGCAGTGGGAGGACTTCTGCTTTCAAGACTAGGTCTGGGAGAGCAGGGCAGGAAGCAGGGCGGTGGCATAATCCCCAGGGTCTCCTTCCCTGGCCTGGCAGTCTGGAGGTCCTCTGTCTCCTGGAAAGGAGCTGAGTGAGGCGCAGATTCCTGGGAGAGCTGGAAGGGAGGATGTCAGGGTCAGAGTTCTGGCTGTGGGAGGTGTGGTATTCTAAAGGCTGAGTCTGGGCTGGGGGAGCTGCCAGATAGATCCCCTAGCGGGCCGGCACACAAACAGACACATGGGAGGCTGTGTGGGCGTGAGGAGGGGGTAAAACCTGGCTAGGTACAGCCCACTGACAGGGCCTGCCCTTGTGCCTCCCAGGCCGCCCTGGCCGAGAGCAGCTTCCCCATCCTCAGCAGCCCTGGCGTGCTGAACCCGGGCTCCACCAGCAGCCTGCTGCCCCTCAGCCACGACGACGTGGGCGCCCCGGGGGAGCCGCTCCCCAGCAATGGCAGCAGCAGCCCACCTCGGCTTTCCCCGCCCCAGTACAGGTGAGCACGCGCACGGACCCCTGCCCTCAGTGCCCACGGATGCCGGGGACGGAGCCTCTCCCACTGCAGGTGGGGGTGCCTCTCACCACGCCTCGCCCCCCGGGACAAGGGGCCTCTTCCTTTCTTGTGGGTCCTTCTCTCCTTCCTCTTCTCTCTCCTCCTTCCATTACCCACCCACCCCTTCTCTCTACATCCTCTCCCCCGCCCCCATCTTCTCTCCTCTCCCCTTTCCTCTGACTGGAGCCCTGGGGAATTCCATCAGACCTAAGACAGCAGGCCCCAGTGGCTCAGGGATGATAAGGTCTTGGGGAGGGGAGATGTGGACATCCCTCTGTGCCCCAAAATTCTGGATGGGTTTTCAAGGGGAGCAGGGGAAGGCCACCAGGGTGCCCACATGATCCCTCCTATCACAGCCACCAGGTGCAGGTGAAAGAGGAGCCCGCCGAGGCGGAGGAAGACCGACGGCCCGGACCCCCCCTGGGGCCCTCCAACCCCAGCACTGCCGGGCCCACGGAAGACAGGGACCTGGAGGAGGAGCTGCCTGGAGAGGAACTCTCCTAAGGGCCTCAGGGGCAGGCAGGGCAGGGGTGAGACCCCTCCTGGCCCCAGGCCCCACCTACCCCCACTCCACAGCCCCGTCCAAACCTCAAGGCACTTCGGGACTCAGATGGGGGGACTGGCCAGCAACTCCCAGTGTGACCTGACTGACAGACGCTTGGGGCAGGGACGGTCCCACCCCCAAGGGGAAATAGAACCCCTGGTCTGGGACCAGCAGAGGACACGGAGGGCCCAGACCCCTCTTCAGACCCTCCCCGCCACCAGCAGCAGCAGGGCCCTCCGCCCCCACCAGCTCTCCCTACAGGGCCCCCCCTGCCCCCCCCCCCCCCCGCAGTGCTGTGGAGACCCGCAGGCGGGGCTAAGCCACCCCTCTCAGACCCAGGGCCCCTCGCACCTGGCTCTGGCAGTGTTTTTTCCAGCCAGAGGCCCCCCACTCCCCTGATCTGTGCTCCCTCTCACCTTCTTTTCCATACTGTGAAGAAAAAGTTCTCCACCCTTAAACTCCTACTTCCACCCTGGCCTGGGTGGAGGAACTGAAGTTTCCACCCATCCCCAGAAGAACCAGCCCCCTCGGCTGTGCCCACTCAAAAGCCACAACTGGGGTGGTACAAACTGTGTGCCATGTGGGGTACACAGGGGCAGGGTCCCTGGCTCTACCCCTTCTCCCCACCTGAGATGGGACCCAGGCTGAACTTGGCCTCCACCCATTTGCTGGATGTCCCTGCAGCTGCCCCACCATCCGGGGAGCAGAGGAAGAGGCCCCACGCCGCCTCCTGTCCGTGCCAGGCAGACTTCTGGAGGTGGGGCCGCCGGAGGGAGCCCAGCCACCCTTGAGGGGAGGGGTGGGGCAGAGGTGGTGCCTGGGCTGCCGGCCACATCCTGCCGCTGTCTTGGGGAAAGGCCAGGCTGACACTGGGCTTGAGGGGCCGGTGGGATTAATTTGGTGGCTGCTGTGACCCAGCAGGCCACTCCTGCCCCCAGCCTGTAGGTCCTCTATTACAGTCCTCCCTCACCCACCCTCAGCACCTCTTTCCTGTCCCCCCAGTTAAACAGATGACCAAAGACCTTTCTTATGCCGGAAGCAAAAACCAAAACTTTTTGTTCGCTTTTTCCTTTGTCGCCTCCTACACACCCCCCTCCCCGGTCCTTTTTCTCCCAACCCCGGCCCCAGGCTGGAAGCCTTCCCTCCACTTAAGTTATTGTTTTAAACCAAAGTTTACAGTGTCTGTTGGTGGCCAAGACCCTCTCTCTTCACCCCTTCTCCACCCAACCCTGAGGACCCTGGGACTCAGTTGGGGCTGGGGACCCTGCTCACCTCCCCTCTGCTCTTGCCCAGCCGGGAGAAGGAAAGAGGGCAGGGGACGGAGGTGGGCCGCCCTCAGCCCCTCCACCCCCGTGGGCAGCGGGCATATGAGCCCTAGTCCCAACCCTGGGCTGCTTCCTGGGGTTCTCCAGATCCCTCTCTAGGACCAAGTCCCCCATCACGCTGGGAGTGTGGATTCCAGCAAAGGAGCTGGAAAAAAGTGACACTCTCCACAGACCCCCTATGGGGGATCCCGACTTGAGGCCAAGGACTGGGTGTGTTGGACTCTCGTGACACCCTGGGCTAGGCCCCTTTTGCTGAGAAGACTCCTTGGACTATTTCCCAAGAAACCCCCACATACGTCCCTTCACAAGCCACCCCTCCCAAGAGGCAGGGGGCCCTCCGCCCCCTCCCCTGTGTACTCCCCACCTGTGTTTTGTTTGACCAGCACAGAAATATTAAACGTCCTCTATACACCGGGCCCTGTGTGTGTCACCACGTTGGGGGGGGGGGAGGCATTAAAGTGGAAAATTGCTCTGCTCTGGGGAGCTGGGGGCAGGAGACACCAGCGGGAAGTGGGGGCGCCTGTCACAGCGTTTTCTGCGGGTTGGTGAGTGGGCTTGTGCACCAGGCACCAGCCAGCCACCAGGCCTCCAGCCGACATTCAGTTTCCCTGCTTCTGTCCGCGCTCCCACATCCTCTGGGCATTCTGTGGTGTTTCCTTTCAAGCAACATGGCTCATCGTTTCTCTCTCCCAAAGTCACCACTCGTCCCAGTTCCCAGGTTTGAAATACAACTTCTTGTTGGTGTGTTTGCAGCTGGGAGTCCAGCTGCAGGACACTTACCTGGGCCACTACCCACGGAGACATCCACCCACAGGCCCTGGGCCTGTCACCCTTGTCTTCACGGGGGCTACCTGCATAGGGGCGTGCGTGTGCCGGGGGCAGGGGCATCAAGCTGCTGGGGCAGGGCTGTTGGCGATGCCCACGTGTGCAGTGTCAGTACTGGCGGGCTCGTATGCAGGACCTGGACAGCTGGGGGAGAAAAGAAAAGGAAGAGTCCGGTATGTTGAAACCAGAGATGCATCCTGACACCTCTTAGGGCAGGGACCCCAGGCCTCTATCCTTAGGGCCCAGGGAGGAGTGTGTGAGTTGACCCTTGGAAGATAAGGTTAGTGGCTCTGACCTCCATGCAGCTAAACACACAACTTTTGACTCCCCCCAAGCTTCAGTCATCCCTAGAAGCCCCCATCGGTTCCAGGAGCCCCCACGAACACAACTGCACAGATGCTTGAGTCCCTTGTATATAGAGATGCAGAACAACACCACAGTGCCTGCAGTCGGCCCTGTGCACATGGGTTTGGTCAAACCCAGAGACGCATGAGGAGGGCCGGCTGAGTGTTCAAAGACAGCCACATGTAAGTGGAGCTCAAACTTGTATAACTCAAGGGTCAGCTGTGCTTGGGGAAAGTGGGGAGGGAGAGGAAAGGGTTTGAAGCATAAATGCAAGCATTTGCCCTTCCCACAAGCCACCAAATGGCTGGAGCGGTCCAAAAGCCAAATTTGGGGAGAAGTGGGCCTTGAAGTGGGAGGTGGGATCTGGAGCTGGAGTCGGTGACTTCCCTGTCCCTGGCCTGTCTTCTGGCCCTTCCCAGCACCATTCCCTCCGTTCCCTCCCACCCTCCGGTCTTCTCTGTTCCGCCCCTCCCTCTCTGCCCCTCCCTCTCTGCCCCTCCCTGCCCTCCGTGGAGGCTTTCAGGCCCTGGACATACCACTAACCTGGACAGTGGCAATTCCATAGAAACAATTACGATTCCACTGCCACCACGTCCCACCGGGACCACCAGCCCCCTGGACCCAAGGCATCCAGAGTATTGGCTGCCAGGCTCCCAGCCCCTGACTCCCCCCTGGAAGAAAAAGGTCTGGTCTACAGGCTGACCCCAGAGACTAAGCAGGGGTGGCCAACCTTTTGGTGTCTCTGGGCCACACGTTAAATACGTTGTGATATGTAATCACAAAAAAAGCCTCATAATGTTTTAAGTAAATTTATGATTCTGTGTTGGGCCACATTCATAGCCATCCTGGGCCGCACGCAGCCATGTACCATGGGTTGGACACGGCTGCAGGGAGGAGACTACTCAGCCTCATTTGGGACAGTTCTCCCAGCTGTCTAACTGCAGTTTCTTCTGCTTCAACTAAAGTTTATTTATTTATTTATTTATTTTTAAAAATATTTTATTGCTTTATCTTTAGAGTGTAAGGGAAGGAGAGAGGGAAAGAAATATCAATGTATGGTTACCTCTCATGTGTCCACCACTGGGACCTGGCCTACAACCCAGGCATGTGCCCTGACTGGGAATCGAACCGAAATCCTTTGGTTCACAGGCCCTCACTCAATCCACTGAGCTATACCAGTCAGGGCTCAACTAGAATTTTTTTTTTAAGATTTTATTTATCTTTTTTAGAGGGGAAAGGAAGGAGAGAGGGAGAGAAATATCATTATATGGTTGCCTCTCGTGCGTCCCCTGCTGGGAACTGGCCTACAGCCCAGGCATGTCCTCTGACTGGGAATCGAACCGCAATCCTTTGGTTCACAGGCCGGTGCTCAATCTGAGCTTCACCAGCCAGGTATAATTTTTGTTTTGATTTTTATTTTATTCCTCCCACGGAGACGTGGCAAATGCCTGGTCAGTGTATTTGGGCATGAAGTGAAGATCTATTTTGGGCTTTGTCAAAAGAGAGGGTCTTGCAATATAAGAAATGGCACTGCTGTGGACCACCAGCTTCTAAGTGTATTGGGCTTGCAGACAATTTTCTTATCGGATGCTATGAGGGATACCCCTCCCTCACACCACCTTATTACCTTCTTCTAAGTAAGAACTGCCTCTCCCCCACTCCCACGATTATGCCTTGCTGCCAGGAAGTTCCCAATGATGTCTAGCTTCTCCTTCCTGCTGTTATCCGCAGCCATTGGGGCAGGTCATTACTGTGGCTGACAGCTTGTCCTGCTCTTAGCATTTCTGTCCTGACAGGGAGAGGGGAGCTATCTTCAGAATTTGTTCTCAGTTTGGAAAAAAATGAGGGGTACTCCAAGCCGGACATTTTTAGGGCGAGGAGGTAGCACTCTGGGATCTGCATTGAGCAGAATTTCCCCTTCCCCTCACCTTCTGAAACCTCTTCCTCCTACCATTAACTGGTGGCCACCCCTACGCAAGGCCATTTGCTAATGGCCAGCAGAGGGCGCTTTAGACAAAGCAGATCTTATGCTCCTTACGTAAACTTACCCCTGGGGTGGGGAGAGGTGGGAGGAAGGGCTCATCTTCCCTTGAGAACAGCATCCCTGCAAACCCATATCCCAGAGAGCAGCCTCTATCCCAGGGCAGATGACAGGGGACGAGTCCCAGGCCCCTCCAACTTGTTGCGACCTGTTACACACCCTAAACAGAACCAGGAGATGGGGAGGGAGATGAGACAGGATCTGGAGGGACGGCAGCGCTGGAGCACACTGGGCACAACAAAGGGCGCCATAAAGATTCGTAAGGGAAATAATTAAATTTAATGAGCTTTTATGAGGTACCAAACACTGGACTAGGAGCTTCATAGTTAGTATAATCCCCACAACTCTGACTTGGATCCTATCATCATCCCATTTTACAGAAGAGGAAACAGAGACACAGCAAAGCAAAGAAGCTGACAGATGAGGCGTTAAGAATGAGAAACCCTGGGTTGCCAGCGGAGAAAGAGAGGAGGGAGGCTCAGTGGCTTAGCTGTTTAGTGATACTATTTACTTTGGTCTTTTTTTTTTTTTTTTAAGATTTTATGTCTTTTTAGAGAGAGGGGAAAGGAGGAAGAATAAGAGGGAGAGAAACACGGATCGATTGTCTCTCCCCCACCCCCCAAACTGGGTATCCGGCCCGCACCCCAGGCATGTGCTCTGGCCAAGAATCAAACCGGCCACCTTTTGGTCTGCAGGCCAGTGCTTGATCCACTGAGTCACACCAACCGGGGCATACTTTGCCCCCCTGCCCCTGCATCTTTATTTGGAGACTCCTAATGGGGAAACTGAGGTACAGAGTGCCTCAGAGCCAGGAATTGGGCGCTGGCTTCAGCGTACCCCGGCTGCCTTCTTGTCTAGGCAGAGTGAGGTAAGTTGGGGCTTGGAATAGTCACTGAGGAACTGACAGACCGGAGAAAAAGGCCGAAACACCCCATAAAAATAACCAAACAGGGGCCTTCTGATGGAAAAGGGAGTCGGAGCAGCGAAGACAAAGCAGCCCTTGTGTGAGGTGGGGAGTTCACAGCGACTGCACACGAGTGTGCGTGCACACTCCCACGAGCACACCTGAGTGTGGACAGACAGTAGGGTGCACACAGGCCACTACTCAGATATGTTCGTGCCTAGAGGACCACCAGGGGCAGCGACTCGTAGCACCTGGTAGTCACAGTGACATCCCATCACAGGCCCAGTCTCCTCCACACCTGCAGTCTGTCTCTACCTCAGGATCAAAAGTTTAGAAAAACAGCTCCTCCTGAGAAGGTGGTCATGGTGGCAGCCAAGGCTGAAAGGCCCTCTTGTCCTAGGCAGGAGGGGCTGCCTGGCCATCTTTGTAAAATGGGCCAGGTTAACTGGATGGTACAGAAGTGCTCTGGGCACGCGTCCTCTGGAGCTCCTGGCCCGCTAGGTGAAGACCTCTTCCCCAGTAGGGCTCAGTGCTCCTCTTGCTCCCAGATCTGGACCTCAGGCCACCTGCTGCTTCCGGGGCTCAGGAGTGGGCCAGGAGCAGGGTGGGCGGGGCCAGGAGCAGGGTGGGCGGGGCCAAGAGCAGGGTGGGCGGGCCCCAGAGAAACACCCTCCGGTGAGGAACCCCTCTGGGAGGGGGAGCCTGGAAACAGTCATGGAACTCCCATCTGGTGAAGTGGGGAGAGCAAAGAAGGGGTGGGAATTCCATCCAGGAGCAGAGGCCTTCAGTGAGGAGGAGGCAAGACTCACAGAATGCAGGCAGGTGGTTCTGACGCAGGTGCTACCATGTGGAACAGGAGGCAGGCGAAGAGGGGGCAGGAGACGTGGGAGGGAGGATGGGGCTGGTCATCCCGCAGAATGCAGAAGTGGCCCTAAGGCCTTCGCCCCAGAGGGCCTGCCCCCTACCTCCAACCCTCCCCCACTGCACTTGCCACCCCCACCCAGCAGCCACTCCAGTTCACACACAGGACTTTCTCCCCCCACCCAACTCCTTTCTCATGCTCCTCCTGCTTCCTGCTTCTTCATGTATGCTTGCCTGTGATTGGCCGTCCCAGATGCCCTCTGCCACAGCCCCTCTGGTCCTTGCTGTCACACCTTCACCACCATCACCCAGGCCTGACCCCAGGCCCAGCTGGGGTTCCTGATTTTGCTTCCATCCAAAAGAATCACCCAAACTAGCCCATTTACCTTTCCCTGCCCTGGAGTGTATGTGGTGAAGCTACAAATCTTTATTAAGCACCT